CCTCATGCTCCGTCCTCCCCTTCATCCGCAGGCACAGATAATGCTGCGCAAATATCATAAACGTGAGGATTTTAGGATTGAGGTGAGGCTGCCGTCATCCTCCACCAACTGGGGAAAAGGAAGCCCATGCATCTGAAAGCACCGCGCTTCCTCCCGGAGGCCTTAACGCCTCCACAGAGAACCGTGCCGGGGGGGGGCGGCGAGCCGGGTGACGCCCAGATTCTCCGCTTTGGTGTTGAGCTGATAACGTAGCTCACTTCGGCTCATCGAACTAATCGCTGCTGCTTTAAGCCGTGCTGGACTTTCAATTCAGTCTCACATACGTACAATAAACCACAAAAGTCAAATTAAGACAAGACGTCTCGGGATTCTTTCAGTGAGTTATCGCGGCCGTGGTTTCATCCACGTAATCAGAAAGGAACTCTACGGCCGGCCTTCCAGGCGGGGGTCGTGACCTGCAGCTGACCTGGCCTGTGCTCGGCCACAGGGAGGAGGAGGAGGAGGAGGAGGAGGAGGAGGGCATGTGGCCAGTCCGAACCCATCGCCCCCCCCCCCGCCCCTCCCTTCTCCCAATAGATAACTTTAACACAGCAAACAGAGGCCCATCCGTCAGCCGGCGCGTAGCTGACACCAGGACGGGCGAACAGGGAGATCGATGGAGACGGAGACGGACAAAGACAAGGCAGAAGGGAGAGCGGGAGGGAGGGAATCCAGCACAGAGAGCTAGATAAATATCACACGGGAGCCCCGGCCAAGCGGCGCTGCAGGCCAACTTCTGCGGGGCCGTGAAAAGCCAGCCGCTTTCTTTTTTTTTTGCCGAGCTGTGACATTTGTTTCTTATTGTCTAAGTGGCAGCTGAAAGCGTCTCCCTGCGATGGGCCCCTCGGCTCCGGCCCCCTCTGGCAGGGAGGGAACCATATTAGGCCGCGTATGGTAAAGTCAACAATAACATAGTTGCAATGAGATGGAAATTTTGCAGCTAATGGTGTTTGTCATTCCTGTTTTCAGCGCACTGAGCGGCCCGTGTTTGTTCTGGCCGGCCGCAGAGACTTTGTTTATGAAAACACTCGCGGGGGCCGAGGCCAAAACCAGAGAGGGGGGGGGGGACTGTAAATAAATATCAGTTCAAAAATAATAATAATAGGCCTCCACCTTTTTTCATTTGATTACAAAAATAAACCAAAGTTTGGGGAGGAATAGCGTCTCGGGGGGGGCTGTTGGGGGCTGGTTCGGGGCTGTTGGGGGCTGGGGGGGCTGGTTGGGGGCTGGTTGGGGGCTGATGTGGGCTGGGGGGGGGCTGTTGGGGGCTGGTGGGGGCGGCATTCTTCGCCCCTCCAGCGCGGCCCTCCCTCCGGACTGATCCAACGTCTCTCACAGACTCCAGCTGCACTGCTGGAAAAAAACACTCCCAACGGAGATCGAGTGGACTTTCGGAGACACAAAGGTGGGAGCTTTGTGTCTCTCGCGTCTTTCCGAGGACACGTCGGGTTTCGCGCTGGAAGCGAACCAAGAGAAGGAGCAGCAGCTCTGGACACCGTGTGGATTCTGGATCCCTCTGGTGAACATCTCATTGGCTTTGCTGTGCCCCGTGTCGCTGCTAGCGGACAGATTCATACGATCCCATTTGTTTTTTAGGAACTTATCAAAAAATGAAAATTTGTACTCTTTTCAATGCCTCCCGTTCAGGAAACGATGCACGCTTCTCCTGTTTTTGCCTTTGGGGAAACGTGCCGACACGTTCAAAGTGGAATGAACCTCAACAAAGAGATTTAACGGAGTAAAAAACTATTTCAAACTACTTGCAAAGTTTTGATTTATGCTGCCGGGACCCGTAACAGCAAACTGTCCTAATGTTGACTTTCAAGGGGACACGGAGGGTCCGAGGTTCCATCATTTTTATTACTGGTTCAAACATCCAAGGGGGCTTCTGTCCCCTCCACATGTTGAGTGTCTTTGTCTCTTTCTCCCTCTCAGCCTCATTCCTAATCTCACACCGAGAAGCGCAAGCTGTTTATTTGCGTGGCTGAAGCCGCTCCGTTAAGTCGCCCCCCCAGGTGCTTCATCCCCAAAAGGGATTTGTTTTCTCAAATAAACGGAGAAAGCAACGGACTGCCAAAGTGATATTTACCATGACAACTAAGTCAAAACTATCCAAACAAGGAGGACGGGGCCTTGCAGGAAACTTTGTTTCCTTCTTATTTATTATTATTTCCTTACATAGTCACAGTTTCTCTCTAGTTTGGCTGGAAACCATAAACATGACGTGTCATGGATGTATAATAAACGGAGCGCTGAATGTCCCGCCAGCGTTGAAGGCATTGGGACAGATGTTAGCAGAGGTTACCACGAAGAAAAAGGAAAACAAGACAACAAATTCCGTCTTTTCTGAAGCGGAGCCACAAGGCCAACGCAACAAAAATAACCCTTTTTTTGGGACTTTTGTGATTTTCTTTCCAGCTTACTGTGGCGTTGGCCACCTGCACCTGGAGGCAGGAAGAAGGTTATCAAAGCTCCTCATCGGGGCTCATATGACTCGCTGATAGGAAAATAGATTGAAACCAAACGGCGGTTTTCCTCCATCATATTCAAGTCTCCCAGACAGCACATCTGCGTTAACGTCATCGGCGGGAATTCATTTCTTTTTTCTTTTTCGGCTCAGCGCCCAGAAGATATTTCACGCGGAAGCTGCTGGGGATGCAGGAGAAAAACAAGAGTGTTGTTGCACCGTCTGACATATTGCACTCAGGCACGCGGCGCCCATTTGAACCCGTTTAGTGAGACATGGCGGAGGAGCGGGGCGCCGTGCCAGCGTGCGTCCTGAGCGCGCCGCCGCATCAGATGTGCAGAGCAGGCGCCGTTTATGTAGCTGCGACACTTCTTGTGATCTCAATCGACGGGGAGGAGGGAGAAAGGGAGAGCGGCTCTGCCTCGCTCTCGTTCCCCCGCCGGTCGTCGTCTGCTACCTGCGGCAGATTACGGTACTCGCGGCGCATTAAAAAACACCAACGGAGGCGTTCAGCCGCCCTTCTAGGAAATCTCCCCCATGTGGCACTTTTGCCACGGCGACTTGTTTATTGTGTCCCGGGTTCGGCTGAGCCATTAAAACGGGGCCCATAAGAATCAAAGTGTTATAAATGCAATGGGAACACAGCCGGCAGTAAATGCCACAGTATTAGAAGCTTACCGAGCCAAATACTAATACAGGCAATTTGCAGCTTGAAGCTGATATAAAGAAATTACTTTTTTTCCTCCTTTCTTTTTCAAAGTAAGCAATAAATGCAGTCGAGGGAACTATTACATCCCGGCATGAATCTGCACACGACCTTTCCGTGGGTCCAACGCGTCAATCCGCTTGTTTATTCTCAACACTTCCTTACAAAAAAAAGTGGATTAAATGAAGCAGCCTCAACAAGCCGAGAGACTGAGGCAATTTACGAGGGAGGCATTTGCAGGACGGCGAATGGGACTTATTACGAGAGCGATTGCGTGCGTCGCTCTTCTTCTCTCCCTCACACGGATTTATGAAATTCAAATGAAGTCCGGCGTGAGGCGGTCTGAGGACGCTCCTGAGGAAAGGCCCTTTCCCGGGAAGTCTGAAGGAGCCTGCACACACTGACGAGGTCCCGGATGTGGAAATGCAAAAGGCTTTTCTTACATTTCAATTAAACAGCAAACGTCTTAAAGTACAGCTGGTTGATCTGTACACAAACGTGAGCGCGTTACTTCCACACACACACAAACACGTACATTAGAATCCGTGGCGCTTTCGCACAGCTAAGACGCGCTAATCCCGTAAGCCTCGGCGAGGTTTTCTGCATTAGCGATGCAATCAAAATCTCACTGGGAAGTTGTGTCAATCACTGCGCCGATTCACGCGACACCGACGCCGCTGGTGGAGGACTTCTTTCAACGGCTGATCTCAGATCTGGAGCTAAAGGGGGGGCCTGCTGCGAGAGAGCACCCGACTATGCGGAGAATGCGCTCCAGATAAACAGCAGCAACGGGAATCCTCCCCCTCAATTTGCTGCAGGTGGGTTTTCCAAATGTGGGGGTAATTGTGTGGATCAAATAAAAGAGGGAGTGCAATCCGGCTGCAGCCACAGCGTCACTGCTGCTTCTCCCAAACGCCACAGAGACGCGGCGGGGAAGCTGCTCAATGCGAAACGCTTTGTCTCTGGGAATCCATTCCGGGTTAGAAGGAACGTTGGAGGGTTCCCCCTTTTTACGGAAGAAAGAACGTTTATTCTTTAAACTTGAGGTGAAATGTAAATATCAGCAGGACTTCTTGGAAATGGGAATATGGAATTGACTTGATAGTGTTTTCCATCCAGATGCTTTATCTTAATCGTCACCTCACACGTTGCTAGAGGCCCAAACAAAACAAATGCACAGCCGGCGCTCGAGTCCCGGCGTGTCGGCGGAGGCCGCGAGAGACACGAGGAAGACGGACATGAAACAGACTGGAGACAAAGAGATGAAGGCAGACTCCTGAAGCCACACCCACCCACAGGGAGACGGGTGAGAGGAGCAAACACCAGGCATCCACCCAAATGACGCCGTGTTTACCAAACACGCCGTCACCGCATTTCGGCTTTTTCCCGGCAAACGCAGACGTGTGGGAACATCCCACTTCCTGCTCGCCGGCGTGCTGCTCAGCCAGCCGAGTCCGCGGTGACTCCTTGGTGTGGGGATGCGGGGGGGGGGGGGGGGGGGGGGGGGACAATCCCTTTTATCGCTCACAATGCTGGTCTCTAATCGGCAGCTGTCAGTGCACCTGTGCGGCCCACCAGACCCGCCCCACCCGCACCACCCGCACCACCCCCACCACCCGCCCCCCACGACCGCTACGACCGTACAGGCACAAATACAGTACACAAACAAGAGAACCCACCCAGCATGGAGTTAATTATTAAGCCCATTCAATAAGCAGCGGCCTGTGTGTGTGTGTGTGTGTGTGTGTGTGTGTGTGTGTGTGTGTGTGTGTGTGTGTGTGTGTTTACCTGCTGTGTGGACTTGCTTTTATTTAAAAGCAATCTTCAGATCCAAAGGTGGCGCAACAGCCTCCTCGCCCTGCGGACACAAGACGGGGAATTATTTGTAATTGCTGGCGCTTACAGCTGCAGAGCTCGTCAACAGGCGCCGACCAGCACTTATACAGTAAGCTGTGCCCCCCCCCCCCCTCCCCCACCGCCGGTGAGGTGTCTTATCTGGGAAATCACCAGAAGGGAATCAATTGGCCAGCATTGGCTTCCCCTCGGGGTTCAGGCCGAGCCGCGTCCCCCGACAGCCGGCATTCCAGGCCCCCCCCCCCTCTTTAGGCAAAGCGTCCCTTTGCCGGGTGACGAGTCCCGTCCCCCCGTTAGCAACAACCGCGCCCCTCCACAACAACGCACCCGAGCGAGCAGTTTATTTGACGCGGGGGGGCGGGGGGGGGGGGGGGGGGGGGCGTTGTACCTGTAGCGGCGCTGCCCCGGCTCCGCCCACCGGCCCTGATCGGCATGCACACGGCTCTCCTAACTGAGCACTCAACCACGGCGAGGAGAGGGAGGAAACGAAATCTTATTTTTATGGTAAACTGAGAAGTGACTGTGGGCCGATAACTCAGGTGCATTTGAATAAAAGCATTAAAGCATATCCAAATATGGAAGAAGAAAATAAAGAAATAAAAGAAGCTCCCACTGTTCTTTCTTGCCGTTTACATTTGGCAGTCAAAGCTGTGGCCGAGCTCCTGTTTATCTAAAGCAGACTGAGAAGATTAAAACACACACACACACACACTGGTCCAACTCGCCCAGTTTCAGCATTAATTTAAAGTTAAATGTCGTTGGTAACAGTCAACACGCAGAACGCCGCCGGGGGGGTTTGAACCATCCTCCAAAACTGGGCCGTTCCCACACAACCGCCCCATCATTGTGATTCATTACACCTCAATTAACATATCATCAATGGAACCGTAAATCAATGGCGAGTGGTGACAAATGACAGATATTTTCAGTTTCAAACTACTAAACATCATTAATTCCCATCACCTGAAAAGAGCCCCGGGGGCCAAATGAGTTTACCCGACGCATAACATCCATTTAGACAAATGTTCCATCATTTTAACGGCGGAAACATTCGTATCGGGGTGAAGAAGAAAAAAAGGCATCGCCGGCTTTCCTCTGCTCGTACCGAGTGCCCATCCTGTGACGCCTAAACACATAATTGTCTTCATTTCAAACGGCACAAAGCTGGAACGTTATGCCGTTCAGAGCAGTGGGGGTGCAGAGAACGTATGGCGAGGATAAACAAGCGCCCGCTGGCTTCGCCCGGGCCGGGAGGAAAACGCAGCCCATCAAGCACTCCCACATCCAGATTTCGGGGGATGGAACCACTCGTGGTTGAGATAATTACCCACCCAGGTGGGTTACGTGCACGCTCCGTTAAGAGGCTCGGATCCAAGTGCAACGATTTCAAGAGACAAACAGGAGCCGTGGAGCATTTCGCTGGTTCCTTTTGGTTTGTTTAACGGAGCGGGAACAGAAGAGAAATCCGGGAGACGGTTCGGCCCCTTCAGAGGACGACACCGTCCAAAGACATGTCTCCTTTCTGAGCTCAAACGCCACGTGAACCGCGTGGGCTGCAGAACAAACACACACAGAAACATGCAAACACCGTGCCGTCACATGAAATACACAATGACCGGCACTGGTTGCAACCGAGCTCCAACAAAGACTTTTATTCTGCGTGAAGTGGACTTCCCCATTAGCGAGGGTGGTGGTGGTGGTGGTGGTGGTGGTGTGGGTCACGGATTCACTGTACGCGCTCTAGTCCTCGGCGCGTTATCGGTGCCTTTGGCTTTGTTGTAAGATTGCATGTTCAAAATATGAATTAATACCCCCTCCAGAGGAACACGGGCCGAGCCCGACAGAGGGTCCGCGCCGGCGCCGGCCGGCCCTTCAGCCCTCTAATGGACGGGCTCTCCTCTCTCTTCACACGGCGCCGACACAAAACACGAGGGCCCATGAATATTTACCACTAAGTAAAGTTATTCCATTAATTACTCCCGAGCGCGCTCAGCGCCGCATCCGCGGCTACTTCTGCCGCGGCTCGTTAATGAACCTTCACACGTCATTACCATAGTAATTAATGCTCAACTCAATGGCTGTCAATAGGAGTCTCTCGCTTCTTCACAAAGCCCGACCGGGGGGTTGTTTCCATCGCTCAGCATCAGCACCTGGGGGGAATCGACAGCCTCCATTTGTCATGTTTGAGCAGGACGAGACAGAGACGGACGAAGGGCACCGTGTGGACGGGGACGGTCGGAGATCTGCACCGTGTGGACGGGGACGGTCGGAGATCTGCACCGTGTGGACGGGGACGGTCGGAGATCTGCACCGTGTGGACGGGGACGGTCGGAGTGGACGGGGTCGCCGCTGTTTGTTTTAAGGGTGTTCGCGGGACATTTTCCAACTTGCTGTCTGCGCTCTGGAACGCAGGACAAGTCTTAAGCGTGAGTCACTCCTCGAAACACGCAGCTGCTCACTGTGATCTGATCCGACAAAAGGAAAAAAAGGGCAGACGATTTCCTCCCTCTATTTGTTTCGGGGTTTAAATGAAAAACATGACGTAGTCAAAAAATATGTCGCGAAGACTAAATAGTTATTTTTTGGTCTTTATTAATGTGATTGGCAGGATTGTGTTGCAACACTCACACAGACTGTAAAGTGTGGCGTGTTCGGCCTGTCTGACCCGCCCACCACCACCAACACCACCAACCCCCCCACCACACCACACCACCCCCCCCACCCTCCCATCAACCACCCTCCCCCACCACACCACACCACCACACCACCAACCCCCCACCACACCACACCACCCCCCCCACCCTCCCATCAACCACCCTCCCCCACCACACCACCACACCACCAACCCCCCACCCACACCACCACCACCAACACCACCAACACCTTCAACACCACCACCACACCCACCAACCCCCCACCCACACCACCACCACCACCTCCAACACCACCACCACACCACCACCAACCCCCCCCAACACCAACACCACCAACACCAACCCCCCCACCCTCCCATCAACCACCCTCCCCCACCACACCACACCACCACACCACCAACCCCCCACCCACACCACCACCACCACCTCCAACACCACCACCACACCACCACCAACCCCCCCAACACCAACACCACCAACACCTTCAACACCACCACCACACCACCACCAACCCCCCCAACACCAACACCAACCCCCCCACCACCAACCCCTCCAACACCAACACCACCACCACCACCAGGTTTTGCTGAGCTAAGAACAAAGTAGCAGAGTGCAGAGAGCTTTGCTACAACAGGAAGTGGAATTCTAAAAACAAACACACATTTCTAATGAGCTGAACACAAAAAGTCTCCATTGATCTATTGATCCACTGAAGAAGTGTACTGTACTTTGTCTGTCTGGAGTCACAGGCGGGCAGCTCAGGGAAAAGAGGTCATCCCTGATGGCGTCCAGTGCGGTCAGCACACAGAGGGGCGAACGGCGTTATCACGGATTCTATCCGTATCAGGTTTCCACTCTGGTCCCGGCTGCCCTCCAACCACGGAGCCTGAGCGCTATTAATCTCAATAAGCTGCAGATTCCATTTCCCCAGACAAAGACAGAAGGGAGAACAAGAGGCGGTGAGTGGAGGGAGGAACTAACGTCCTCACGCATCACCCCGGGGTTACCACTTACTACCACCTCCAGCCCGGGGGGGCGTCTCTCACCCATATGCAGGGCAGCAGTCGACACACTTGCAATGCAAATACACGCCGACCGCTTGGCGATCAGTTCCGATGATTGGTCAATTTTTAACTTAACCAAAACAGTCCTCCATTTATCACAACTGATGTTCTCCTTCATTCAAATGTATTAAAATCGATGACCCTCGAACCCCAAACACCTCCTTGGGAAGAACAAACTCATGGAGAGACTAAAATATGTCATGAATAGAACTATGAGATGTATATAATGTCCAAAATTAGATTTATTTAAAACTTATTTGGATTTCCTCGATTATTCATCTTTACGAAATGTAATATTTACATATTTACAACCTCCGTGTGTGAATGTTTGTCATGTGACCAACGGCCTCTATTGACGCACAACTTGCTCATGAAGCATCTGAAGGTTGAAAATCTCACGATTAAGTCTAAACCCACATTGACCCCCCCGGACTGAGCTTACAGGTCAGTACTGTTAGCACTGTTAGCACCGTTAGCGCCGCGCTGCCGACCCAGACACACAACTAGGGCTGCGACTAACAACTATTGTCATCGCGTCGCCAATAAATCTGCCAACAATTATCTTTATTAATCAAGGAATTACTACACAATGACGAGACCATCCCGATGTCCCCAACACCCCGGAATGTGTCTCACATGACCATTGGCTGTCGGAAGGTTGCGAACTGTCTGTTTGACTGAGATTTTGTTTGTGCGACCAACATTCCAAAGTGTTTAATCGCTTCCCCCCCTTTTTAAAGCCCAAACTCACATATTTTAAACACGTCAAACGTTTGCTCAACTTGTAGTCGGGACTCCGAGCAGCGTCAGTCCCTGACAGACACACCGGCCTCCCACAGAGAGAGAGCAGTAACATGAAAAGAGAACGCAGGGAACCACAATGGAATCTTTACCGAGTCACCGGCGTCAATCATGTTCATCAAACTGTATATTGATGCAGATTCACTCAGAGCACCGAGTGCTTCTCAAATCCACTTCTGAAGAGGAGCAGAAAGCTGCCGGTGGAAGTAGCGGCTGTGGAGTAGCTGAAGTGTGTGTGTGTGTGTGTGTGTGTGTGTGTGTGTGTGTGTGTGTGTGTGTGTGTGTGTGTGTGTGTGTGTGTGTGTGTGTCAGATGGGTTAGGGGTTAGGGTTAGGGGGGGAGGCGCTGAGCTCTTGTTCCAAATGTGGCGTCAGATGCTGAGTGACACAGTCTGACGGGGGCAGTCAAAAAAAAGTCACTTTCATGTGAAACCCTCTGAAACGGATCGGGGGCTGGAGGGGAGGAGGGGGGGGTGAAGGGGGAGT